CTTCGCTCGAAACGTCGACATTCTGCTTATATTTTGCAGATAGTTGTATATCCTTCATATAGCGGCTTCTATTATCATAAACCTAACTTTGGAAATAAAACAACTTCACCATTAACCCAAGGCCTTATCTCTATTTACGTATGGAAGCGCAAATAAGGGTAAGAGGTGAGATAAAACAATCCAGAATGACAATACAATCATGCTGAGTATCTCAAATTGATTTTTCAGATATTCATGAAGCTTCGACGGTGATCAGTGTTCCCATTCCAGAAATACTCCCTGACGATCTGGATATTAATGAAAATTGTAAATATGCCATCGGTCCTAAAACTTTAAGCATCATGGGTAAATTAAATGGAAGGATGGTTACGGTTAAAAAATATCAACGAACAATTCCTGATTGCGAAATATCACAACTTCTTAACGACGAGTATGAGACGATCAGGTTCGTAGAATACATGTATATTTAGAAACAAAATGCCTTGTTGGGTGATATGAACCTATAATGATATTCAAACAAGATGTCTGCCGAGGCGTTCAGGTTGCACGGGTTGCAATATTCACACTCTGTTACTTTTTGAATGAATGAATGAATGAATGATTTATTTAGACACGTTACGTCCAGGAGCATAAAGCTCGTTCAAAATACGAACGTGCAACTGTGGTAATTATATTATACAATTACTTTATGGTTTCCGTGTTTGGATGGCCTGATCCAAACACGCGGGAATGTTGCGAGAGTTAAGAAAAGCGCGCGAAAGCACGAGCCGAAGGCGAGTGATTTTGCGCGCTTTTCTTAACTCGAGCAACATTTCCAAGTGTTTGGATCAGGCCATCCTAACATGGAAACCATAAAGTGATTGCTTTATAAAATAACAACAACACGATAGTCTTCCGTGTTTGGATGACCTGATCCAAACACGGGTTTCGACCAATCAGAACACGCGTTATATACATGTTATTTTATAAAACTATTTACATGTCAAATAGGTTATCAAGAAATAATGTACAAGAATGAGATTAATTACAGAAAAGCTAAAAAAACAACGGTCCTTAAGTTACTTATAAAGCTATTAAAATCTACCGACTGATGAACTATTACAGGAAGTTCGTTCCAATACTTACCAGCAGCATAGCTAAACGATTTCTTCTTCCACTGCAGATTAAATTTAGGAAGAGCGAGGTATACCCATCACCTCTCAGTCTATACTTAGTCTTCCTAAAGTGGAAGAGATCTCTGATATATGAGGGGCCATTACAAAATAAGCATTTATAAAGTAACTCAATTTGAGCTCGTTAAGATTGGTTTTCCTATTAGAGCTTTATGACAGTAGGCTAGGTTCAAACTAATCTCTAGTTTCTATATTATCTAGATTTGCCAAAACGCCCATTCCGGAGTGTCACAGTGTCACACTACCTCTAATCTTCCCAAAAATGTTCCGTTTTATTCCCGCTCCAATTACTGTCAATACTAACAATCACTATTAAATTTCATGTCCTGTGTAGTTGTTATAGGTTTCCAAACTCTCAATTTATCATACTTTTATTCTTGCATGCTATTTCGTCAATGAAATCTTAATAAAGTACTGATTCTGATGTCGTTTTTCGATCCAGGTGTCTTTACCATCCAAATATTGCATTACTGATAGCCATATGTAATGGACCAACAACTATGGAACAATATCTCGTATTTGAACCGTTGGAATACCACTTTCTCCACAGACTACTGTTTGAAGAGAAAGCTAAGTTAGAGGAGGACTCAATATTGAAAATCGCTCATGATGTAGCCAATGCTATGCAATACGTTCATAACATGGGATTTCTACATTGTTATCTTGGAGCACATAGTGTCATAGTTACACGTGATTACACTGCCAAGGTATATTTTTGGATTTTGCTGGATGTTATGTAATATTTCAAATCCAACTATGCGGACTGGACTAGATTTCAAGTCCACGCAATTTGATCAAGTCGAGGACTGGGTCAAAATGCGAGAACTTGAAATCTAGTCCAGTCCGAGGAATTGAAATGACATCTCACGAATAAATCACAACTTAAAGTGAGGTAAACTAATTTTGATCCAGTCCTAGGACTGAATTAATTTTGATCCAGTCCTAGGACTGAATTAATTTTGATCCAGTCCTAGGACTGAATTAATTTTGATCCAGTCCTAGGACTGAATTAATTTTGATCCAGTCCTAGGACTGAATTAATTTTGATCCAGTCCTAGGACTGAATTAATTTTGATCCAGTCCTAGGACTGGATCAATATACTCCACCAGGTATCTAATATTATCATGTGAGCAAAATAAAGCAATATATATATATGATTGGCTAATTTACTCATGAATTATTAATGAGTTTGAGATTAAGGAATATTGTTAGTTAGTGACCTTCTCAGATGGTGGATACCGCTTTTTTATAGCATTCTATAGTATATCAACGTGCGCACAATATCGTATCTATTTGTACAAATTCCTACGTAATAAGTGCTTTCAGAAATCGTGTTAGCGTAGCGCATGGAGTGTAAAAGAAAATTTTGGCACGTTTTTTTATAGTCATTGCAGGTGCATGAAAATTTGTCAAAACAGCATACCTCTATTTCAGCGACGATATGGCTTAGTTCATAGACAATCCAGACATGTTTTTCGCGGTTTTATACTGTTATGAATAGTTAGTTGCACCAAAATGACTTTGTTTCAAAATGCTTTAACCCTCTAACAGTTTTTCTCTAATCACAAATTACATCTTTTTGATCCTCATTTACTCATTTCCCTATAATTGTGCTCGCCTGGGATAATAACCATACGTATGTAGCAAGTTGCTCAATCCTAAATCGTCGTCATGCTAATGTGCGTCTTATTCCTATGCATGATAGATCTGTAACTTCGAATATTCATTGCGAGAAAGTGGAGATCCAGTCTCACTTAGTCACTGCACTCTCTTACATAACTGGATGGCACCTGAGCAGATCCTTGGCTTCCCAGCCGATAAATCTGGAGATGTATTCAGTTTTGGCATTTTGATGTGGGAATGTCTTGTATTAAAACGATCGCGGCAGGTGTTCAGTTTAGAAAAACTAGCTGTGATTGGGAAGAGTGTGCATTACAAGGTGATCTCGAAGTTAGAAGGAAAGAAAAATGTTAAATTGGTTATCAGTGACTGTACTAAGATAGCCAGTAGGAGACCAACGTTTCATCAGGTATTTCAGCAGTTCGACAGAGTTTTGATACTGACTGTGGGAAAGTTGTAATCAGCGACGTCGCGAAGCCGTCAACATTGGGGGAGGGGGTCGTCATGTTTTGACCAACATTTCCTACGGTTTTAACCAAGTCGTAAAAATTTTTCCCAAAAATGTTGTCGACGGGGGGGAAGGAGGTCAAAAAAATTTTCCGGACTAACATAAGCATCGTCAAAAAAAAGTTTTCGGACTAACATAAGCATATTCGAACAAGATAAGCTAGGCTTCTAATTTTTTCACCGCAAACATAACAAAAGCTTTAAAATTGTTAAAATTGCAAACCATTTCATACCTTTGGGCAACTTCGACCATCTTTTATCCCAAACTTTGGCCAAATTTTTCCGAGTTTTACCTTCAATTTTAAGCAAATATCAGTTCCATTTTGACCAACTTTGGGCACATATCAGTTCAATTTTGACCAACTTTGACCAACGTTTGAATTATTGGGGGGTGTTACACCCCCCCCACCCACCCCACCCCCTATAGCGACGTCC